TTTTGTAGTGGCAAAGAATTAGAAACTGAGGGGATGCCTATCAGTTGAGGAATGGCTGAATAATTTATGGTATGCAATTGGGATGGAATACTATTGCACGGTGGAGCAGCTAGGTGGCGCAGTAGAGAGAGTACCAGGCACATCCATTTTCCTTTTCCGTTATATTAGCTAATCTGACAGGTGTAAGGTAGTACCTCAGAATTGTTTTAATTTGCATTTCTCTAATCAATAGTGACTTAGAGCATTTTTTCATGACTATAGATAGCTTGGATTTCTTTATCAGAAATATCAGCCTGTTCATATGCTTTGATCATTTGTCAATTAGGGAATGACTTGTTTTCTTATAAATTTGACTCAGTTCCCTATATAGTTGAGAAAGGAAGCCTTACCAGACACTTGTGCTACAACAGAACAGTTCTGAAAATAATTAGTTGAAATTTAAACCTTTTTAAAAAAGCAATCAGTATGAAAGACATTCACAATTTCACGTAAAATCTTTTTGTATTGTACTTTGCAATATTCATATGGAGTTTTTTGGTATTTGTTAAGTTCAGAGAAAAAAAATTAAATGATCAGATCAAAAAAAAGAGAATAATACTGCCTGCTCGGCACCTTCACCTTCGAGTGGCAGGATGAAACCTAGTAAACTGAGATAAAACTTGGAAAGACAAAAGATGACATCAAAAACTCTGTCTTTGGAACTGTGTTTGCTCATTCCATGACTTTCTTTCCTGACAAAATTTTCCTCTTCGATACTGTGCACTGTGTGCTTGTGAGTAGAGATTAGAATCTCAGTATGTCACAGAGTATATACTGAGTTTAGACATTTCCTCTTGACTAGATTATTGCAATAGTCTTCTAACTGGTCTCCCTACAATTGAGCTTGTCCCCTCTCTAATTCATCCTTCACACTGCTGCCAAATTGTTGTGTTATTTGTCCTTCATTCTGGAAGAGGACCATGACATCAAGAAGATGATGCCATGACTTGCAAGTGAATTGGATTTAAGTGAGGAAAGGCTGTGCAGGGTCACTAGCCTCACTGTCTCCTTCGGAGCTGGAGCAGTGGCAAGATATAGATCAAATGACTGGAGATGGCTCCCCACTGCCAAACAGATAAACTTAAAAGAAGAACCTGACTACATCATTCCCTTGCTCAAGAAACTTACATAACCCTCCACTGCCTTTAGGATGAAATACAAACTTATCTTTGGACTGAGTTCAGCTTTGGCTGTGTTGAGTTTGAGAATATCCATATGTACATCCATTGTGTGACTGGAGATAAACAACTGAATGTTGGCTTCTTCTTCTTCTTTTTTTTTTTTTGCTTTTTTTTTTTTTTTGATGAGGCAATCGGGGTTGAGTGACTTGCCCAGGGTCACATAGCTAGTAAGTACCATGTGTCTGAGGCCGGATTTGAACTCAGGCCTCCTGACTCCAAGGCCAGAGCTCTATCCACTAAGCCACCTAGCTGCCCCTGTCCCTTGGCTTATTTTTAAAGGCAGATAGGTGCCACAGTTGGGCCTGGAGACAGGAAGACCTGAGTTAAAATCCAGCCACAAAAAAAATAAATTAAAAACCAGCCACAGATACTTAATAGCTTCGTGATGCTGGTCAAGTCACATAACCATTACCTCAGTTTTCTTAACTGTCAAATGGGGATAATAACAGTACCTACCTCCCAAGGTTGTTGTAAGGATTAAATGAGATATTATTTGTAAAGTACTTAACACAGTGTCTGGCATGTAATTGCACTACATAAATGCTTATTCTCTCCTCCCTTTTCATCTTGTGAAAGAGATGATTGTGTGGGTGAAGTGACAGGAGAAGGCCAGAGATTAAACTTGGTTGGGGGAGGGGGCTGAAATTTGGGGGGAAGTTGTGAAATTGAAGAAGAAGCACTCAAATTGATGAGGACCATGTGTAAAGGGAAGGGCACAAGAAAGATAGCTCATGGTAATAGAATTTGTGTGATTTGGCGACTAATTGGATCTGTAATGTGAGGGAGAGCAGAGTTGATGAGAATGACTTCACATCTGGGTGATTAGAATAATGGTGCCCTCAACAGAAATAGGGAAATTTGGAGAAAGGAAGAAGATAATTCCATTTTGGACTTATTGAGTTTGAGATACATTTGAGAGATCTGGGTAGAAATATTCAAAAGGCACTTGGTGATGCAGGGTGGGAGCTCACAAGAGAGATTAGGGCAGGATATATAGGAAGTCTGGGAGTCATCGGCATAGATACGATAAAGGGAGCCTATGAGAGTTGACAAGATCACTAGGAGAGAGAATATATAGACAGATGAGGGAGCTAAGGCTCTGTCATGAGTGGACATAGATAATGATCCAGCAAAGGAGACTGAGAAGAAAGGAGAAGATCTTTAGGAGGAGAACCAGGACAGGGAATTGTCATGAAAGCCAAGGTTGGAGAGAATATACAGGAAGAGGATGTGGTCTCCCGCGTCAAAATTTATGTAGAAATGAAGAAGGGTGAGAATTGAGATATCATCGTCATTATCATCATCATCATCATCATCATCATCATCATCATCATCATCATCATCATCAGACTTAAGGATTAAGAAACTGTTAGCAACCTTGGAGACAAAACCAGATCACAGGGGTTGAGAACTGAGTGAGAAGAAAGGTGGTGGCGGCAAAGAGTAGATAGTTCCCCTCTCCTCTCCCCTGCAACCTGCCCCCACCCCAGGAGTTTAATTTGGAAAGGAAACAATGGCTTAAGGAGGTATCAGGACCAAATGAAAGATTTTTAAGTATAGGTAGGGCTTAGCCATATTTGTAGACATTACTGAAGGTGTGGAAGAGATTTAAGATGAGAGAGAATAGGAGTGATTGAAGTGGGGCAAGCTCCCAGAGGAGTTTAGGGAACAAAAAGGCAGGGGAGTGGGATTGCGCTCTGGCTAGGAGAGCCTTATCTTTGTCAGAGACTAGAGCACAGAAGGAGAGAGAACAGCAGTATGTAGAGGAGACAATAAATGATGTCTTTTTCCCCATGAAAGGACACTTCTCCTGATTAGCCCCCCAGCAGAACTAAAAGCAATATATGGAAATTCTAAAGGCCCAGTTAACCTTGGAGTAAGGAAAGAGTTGTAAGGATAAAAACTCCCCAACAATTAGAGCTATCAGAAAGTGGAACGGGCTTGTTTGGGAGATGTAGTTGTTTGCTATTCACTTGAAGGCTAGATGACCACTTGATTGTCCCACTATAAGACTGCCTCTTTAACTTGTTGCTGACTTACCGTGGATTGTTATGTGGAGGCTCTCTTACAAGAGGTGGAGATAATAGTGCTCCTCTAAGGCTGAAAGAAGTGGTGTCAAAAACATTTTAGAAATAAAAAAATTAAATGAAAAATAAAAAAAGAAGTGTTCACGAGGAAATAAGTGGCTCCACTTTTGTCTCTAGCTCCAGACTTTCCTTTCTTTTTGTTTTGTTTTACAAGGTGGTATGGAAAGCAGGAGGCCAACTTCCTTCCCATGCCCTTTGTTACTTCACTTATTAGTTGCTATGTAGCCCTGTATGTAAAGAGACCTAACAAATGAGTCTCAACCAGTTTATGGTCCTCTTCATTCTTGATGAAAGAAGGACACCTGCAATGTATAGTGGAATGAGAACTGCGCTTGGATTTAAGAAACCCTCTCATCTCTAATACTTCCTATCTATCTGTATCTATACAGATACAGTTAGTTAGATAGGTAGATATAGTAGATAGGTAGATAAATCTGTCAAATGCTACTGACTGAAGCTGACCTGGTCCCCACTACCAGACCCATGAATTGCCTAAGACTGACCAGAAGTTATCATTCCCAGCCTCAGACTGTTTTTTAAATGTCCTAAACCCTCCCCTCTGGGATTCCCTAGCTTTCTCTGTCGTCTTTCAGTTGTTATGCAAAACAACTTACCTCGTGAAACCATACAATGTCCCATCCCCTTTGCACCTGCAGCCCCTTTCCTCTGCCCAAACCCCAGACCCCACCCCCTCTTTAGGTTTGCCGGAACTCTTTGCCCTAGGCCAACTCTTTGCCCTGACTAAAGATCACAATTTTTGCCATGCTGGCTGCCTTCTTGTTAATCCAGGTTGACATATCTATCTGTCTATCTAATGTTTATGTGTGGCGGAAAATTGTTAATATGATTGTTAATATAAGGACAGAAATTGTTAATACCAAATGTAATATTACTTGCCACTCCCTTAAATGATCCTAGTAATGTCAGAATTTTAGTAATATCCTTGTGTTCCTCCTCTTAAGCTAGATTCCTACTCTTAGCTCTAGCTTAGGTTGAGCTGAATCGGACCCTAAGTCCCCTCTCTCTGGGATTTTGCCTTGTAAAGGAGCCTAGCTTGAGCTGGATCTCAGCTCCTGATGTCCTTGCATCCTTCCATTGAGACTCATGGCAAGAAAGTCAAAACAGCCAGAATAAAGTAGTTTTCCTTGCCTGAATTGTCAAGGGCCACTGGTGTCTCATGACCAGGCCTTGCTACCTCACCTATCTCCTCCTCCTCTCCTCCTAAAAGCATAAAAACTTTTTCATGGGTCTCTTTGGTTGGGAAATTCACTGGACATCCTCCAAGGTGGCAGGTCTGCTACCTTGTTTTCTCATTTAAAGACACTGTTCCTCAAATCATGGCTTTGATTTATTTCAAGACTTGACATTTGTGTGTGTGTGTGTGTGTGTGTGTGTGTGTGTGTGTGTGTGTATGTATAAAATTCTGGGCAAGTGGCTTAATTTCTCCTAACCTCAGTTTCCTCATCTGCAAAATAGGTGCTGTTCTGACTAGTATGCACCCTATTGGAGAATGTATAGAACTGAGCTGAGCTTCCCTGGTTATTTCAAGGGACCTATATGATTAGCATTGAGGAATTTAGGAATAATGCAGGAAACACTGATGGCACCTGGGAACAAGGGCTGTGTCAAAGAAGATGGACTAGTGAACCAAGAAAAGGCATCCGCTTAGTAGATATTAAAAAGAGAGATAACTTCTGCTGTTGCTTTCTATGTCTCTCCTGAACATATGTCATGGAATTTTCTCTCTTGGACACATTGTGGAGGGGAGAAAAGTCCCCTTTTTCCCTCCCCTAGTAGCAATGGTGGTCATTTGAACATGACAGCAGACATGCATTGGCAGGGTTGCATGAGAGTTCCTTTGCAGCTGCTGCAGTCTCTACCAATTATCCCCCTCCCTGCCCTCAATTTATTACTCTAAGACAACAAGCAACAGAACTCAACTTCTTGTCTCCCCCCAGCCCCACCTTTCCTCCAGCCATGCAGCTGAGGTTGAAATAAAGGAGAGAAGAAAACTTGCTCAGCCTAGAGGGGCAGTACTCTGACGGTGCTATAGCAGTGGTTGGCCAGAAAACCAAGGAATGGTGAGAACTGGGACAAGGAGCCAATACATACGCCAAGCTTGAAAGAAAAGAGGCTGGCATCTATCCAGCTGAGGCTGGTACTGCTTCTCCAAAAGTCCCTTGGGACAAAGACGGAGACCAGGTGGAAAGTTAATTCCCTAAATTTGTTTTGCATGATCACGTTTTTGTCATGGGTTTTGTTTTTTCTTTCCTTCTCAATGGGCAGAGGGAGTTGGGAGGGAGAGGAGGCAAACCTGAAAATAAAATCAAAGTGAATTTTTTAAAAGTTAATTTCCTGGTGTGGGAGGGGGATGAGACAGCTTTTAGGGCCAGCCTTTGGGGGAATCTGCCATTGAAAGGGATGGAGTTAGAAAATAAGAGGTACTGGAGTATAAGAAAAAAAAAAGATGGAAATTATTCAAGATCTCAGGAGGAAGCTAACTCAGCTAAAAAGCCTTGAGCACGTTGCAGATAAACCAACCAGGAAGATAATAATAGAAGGTAAGATGGCTTCCAGATCATCTAAACCAGTACAAATATTCTGAATAAATGTTACCAGACAAATGAAAATGAATCAATGCCTAATAAGCCAGAGGACCCTGGGGATTCCCAAGAGAATATGGAAACACAGCAGGAAGTTCCTGAATGGATTAAAGGAGAATTAAGATTTATAAGAGCTGAATTTATGGCTTGCATAGCAGAAATAATGGGAAAAATAGAAAAACTGGGATCTACAGTGACAAATCTCACCAAAAGAGATATTAATTGGGAATGTAATTACATAGAAGTGAAGGACAATTTGGAAAAGAGAAGCAAAAAGTAAAAACATCAAAAGAAAGAATGAGATCTTTATGCAAGCAAAACATTGATTTGGAAGACTGCATGTGTTACAACAATTTAAGGATTACAGGTCTCCTAGAAGGATAAGAAAAATAAAAAGAACAAATTTAAATACTGCAAGGCAAGAAATAATACAAAAAATTGTTTAGAACTTCTGAACATGGGAAACATAATGCCAATCAAAAGAAGCCACAAGGGGCAGCTAGGTGGCGCAGTGATAATAGAGCACTCACTGGCCCTGGATTCAGGAGGATCTGAGTTCAAATGTGACCTCAAACACATAACGCTTACTAGCTGTGTGACCCTGGGCAAGTCACTTAACCCCATTGCCTACACAAACAAACAAACAAACAAACAAACAAACAAATAAATAAATAAACAAATAAGTAAATAAAAGAAGCCACAGGTTGCCTCTAGAGATTTAGGGGAGTATCATGAAGAAGACACTACACTTGAATCTCTTCAGTGAGGGCAAATCCACTACCTCACAAAGCATTTCATTTTGGATAGATCTAATTTTAGAATCAGAGAAACCATGGAGATACACAATGGAATTTAATTCTAGATTTGGAGCTAGAGTGATCATTAGAAGGCATCTAGTTTAACCCTCTCATTTTACAGATGGGGAAACTGAGACTCAGAGAGGTTAAGTGGCTTGTCCAAGGTCACATAGATAGTGACAGAGGCTGGATTTGAACCCAGATGCTTTCACTCTAAATCCTTCATGCTTTATCACATTTTATTAAGGAATGCCCAGGGATGGCATAGAGATGACTGAGAACTGGCATGGTGGGACTGAGACTAGGCAAATGATAGGGTGAAATGCTTACCATTCAGAGACCAGGATCACAGGTTGGAAGCAGAGGCTGGAGAGGAAGTGAGATGTCATGAAGATGCCCAGGAAGTGGCATAATGGGTAATGTGAGTAGATCATGCATCTGGTATGTTGAGATAGATGTCAATTCCTGACCATGCTCTCTAGCCTCCATCTCTATGCAGAACTGAAGATCCCACCCCTGTCACCCTGCATCAGGGATGGGGAACCTGCAGCCTCAAGGCCATATGTGGCCTTCTAGGTCCTTGGGTATGGCCTTTTGGCTGAGTCCCAGTTTTACAGAACAAATCCTTTTATTAAGGAAATTTGTTCTGTGAAGTTTGGATTCAGTCAAAGGGCCACACTTGAGGACCATGTGGCCTTGAGGCTACAGGTTCCCCACCCCTGCCCTGGATGGTGATGGGCAAGGATTTCTCCTTATCCTGAACCCAGTATCAGGCCTACTATACAACTTCTGGGTCATCTTCACGACATGCCATTCTCTCTCTATCCTCTACCAGTGTGTCTGGAAGCCATTCTAGGCAGAGCTTGGGGATGAGACTTAAAAGCATTAGTAATTTAGTAGTGATCACAAGAAACTATAAAGAATGGATCTCAGAGGCTGGGTTGAGGAAATTTGATTTTGAATAGATGCTAGACATCTGAGTATTGTGTATCAATTCTTCCTGGATCCTTTGTGTGTCTGTAAGCCTTTAGATGTCAAAGCTTTTAGAATCCATAAGATAGTTCACAAAGGCCTTTTCATGGTGTCAGTAACTTAGACTAATAGAGATGTAGCAGAGTTTTAGGTTGATATGACCTATGATAGCCTATGTGGCCATCTGGCTCATTCTCTTCCTCATTCTCATCCCAGATTCTAAGCAATCAAGTAATTACTTTGGATGTTTCCTTGCATATTACTAAAATCACAACACGTTTCCCATTAATCAATTAGCTCCGGGTCTTTGCCCAAACAGCTAATATTATTTATTAAATAAAATGGAGAAACCTCTTTCTCTATAATGTTTCCACATTAAACACCCTAATTTCTTAAGGTTTGGCATCTCGGTAGTGCAGTGGATAGAGTGCTGGGCTTGGAGTCAGGAAGATTCACCTTCTAGGGTTCAAATCTGGCCTCAAGCCTTTTAACTATGTGACCTTGGGCAAGTCACTTAACACTGTTTGCCTCAGTTTCCTCATCTGTAAAATGAGCCAGAAAAGGAAATGGCAAACCACTCCAGTATCTTTGCAAAAAAAAAAAAAACCAACAACGGGATCGCAAAGAGTCACACAGAGTTAAAACAACTGAACAACAACAACAACAATTTCTTAAGGTTACTGGCTATATCATGTTAACAAAATCACAATAAAACAAAGACAAATAATTATTTACAATCTTAGAGCTCTGAGAATGATCATATCCAAATTTGCTTCTATCCCTGTTATTTGCTGACTTCTCAGTTCTGGGAATAGTCTTGTCACTTAGGTCTCTCTGGATGCTAATTATTAAAATATGTTCTTAAGATTTCAGCTAATGTGGCATTTAAAAACGTTCAAGAGACATAATTTCTGGATAACTTAATCATTTTATTAATAACACCAGCATGTTTATTAATAAAAGAATGGTCATTTGGCTGTCTCTGTCTTAGACCAAAGACCCCTCACGGTGGTGGGCTCCCAGTTTATATGTCCTTTGAAGAGTAGCTGTTCCTGAGGGTGGCAATCAACTCTGACTGGTTAACAATTGATGAGAATTAATACTATAATGAGAGGGCAAGCCATGCTATGATGAGGGTCTTGGGGTATGTGACTTGGATCACCCAAATCTTGGTCAAAAAGACTTATCAATTTCCCTACCACCTGTCTGACAAAAGGGAGAATCCACATTTTTCACACACCTGTCTGAGCAAAAACAATGAGCAGGAATGCACCCATTAGCCTAAACTTAGACTTTCTTTTACCGTCTTTGTTAGATCTCAGCTATCCTGGCCTGGGTAAGTGTTTTGGAAAGATTTCCTACACTGGTTGATTCTGGAGGAGGAAGCAGAAAAGGGGAAAACTCTTGGTCCTAATACAATAATTAGTTATTAATACAAGAGAGAAGTAACCATTTCTCACACTAATAATATTTTATTGTAAGAGTTAAAACTTCTCTCAGGAAAGAAGCTCTCTTAGACATTTTTTTTCTTTTTTTTCCACTTTTTTCTTTTAATTTATATTTTATTTCCCCCCAATTACATGTAAAAACAATTTTGAACATTTGTTTTTAAAACTGAGTTCCAAATTCTCTCCCTCTCTCTCCACCCACCTCAATGAGAAGGCAAGAAATAGTAGTCATGCAAAATATATTTCCATATTAATTAGACCTTTTTTTCTATGCCCTCTCACAGTTTCTTTTCTGCTTTCACAATTAAGATAGACTCTAGAATGATAGATAACTACCATTCTCTCAAGATCCTATATCCTCTTAAAGGTAGAAAATAGCTTCTATTATCTCTGGGAGTGGTTATTGAAGCTGGTATTACAGAGACATAGATTATCTAGAGCAGGGGTGGGGAGCATATGTTGCCCCCTAGGTCCTCAAGTGCGGCCCTTTGATTCAATCCAAACTTCACAGAACAAATCCCCTTAATAAAAAGATTTGTTCTATAAAACTTGGACTCGGTGAAAAGGCCACACCTGAGGACCTAGAGGGCCACATGTGGCCTCAAGGCCGCAGGTTCCCTACTCCTGGTCTAGAGCCAAAAAGAACCTTAGAGATTATCTATTACAAATCTGCTCCCCAATTTAACAGATGGGGAAACTGAGATCCAATTAATTAATTTGGAAGGGGTTGACTATTTCTAATACTAGAAATCACACATTGGTCCCAGTTCTTACCCCAACTACGCACTTGATGCTTTCCTGTTGACTTTTTCACTAGTGGTTACTAGAATATATATTTCACCCTTTCACCTCCTTCCTCTTTTACTTTTGTTTCCAAATGTGAATTAAAAGAATAAGGAAGTGGATGAGAGACAAGAGAAAGCAGAACAGTTGAAAAGCAGAGAAGATGAATTCTACTGTGCTGCCTTGGACCAGCTGAGACACTGTAGTGTGAAAAGAGAATGTATCTGCTGTCAGCCCTTCTCCTTCTGTGGCTCCCAGGTGAGTGGGAACTGAGTCTCCAAGCATAGGAAAAGCTCTCCTGGCAAGATTAGTTGCTGGCAGAGGGCTGATAGAGATGATGGTGCTGGAAGAAAACACCCAAGGGAAACTCTGTAGCTGGTGTGTGTGTACAGGAGAGCTTTTCCTATGCTTGTATGTATTTGTGTGTGTATATATATATATACATACACATATATACATACACCTATAAATAAATAAATGAGACTATCTATCTATCTATCTATCTATCTATCTATCTATCTATCTATCTATCCTGATGTTTCCTTCTAGAAGTTCTTTTGAATGACTTTAGGATTGCTTCTCCAGGAAAATCCTTGTACTACCATTTCAATTAATCAGCCAATCATTCTTCAAATATTTATTATCTCCTATGTACTTATAATCTCCATTGAAAATTGCACATTTACTGAAAACCAAATGAGCTCCCCATAGAAAAACTATGCCTACCCAGCAGTTGACTACCCAAAAAGGAGACTGACATTTGTATTTTGCCACACAGACACCAAACACCAAGTAAAGATGTTTTCTGTATTCTTCACAGAGTTGGTGAGTGTATTTCCCTGGTTTCTTTTAGTTACTTTCAACAGTTTATGGAAGTAAGAGGAGACTTTGGGGAAGAAGGGAACATGAATGAGGGATTTGAAAGAAGGAAAGGTAGAATTTTCCAGGCAGAGAGTATGGATGATTCTGGACAAACAGCTAAGAGAAGGCAGTATGTGTGGCACACTGGAAGAAGCCCTAGTTCTGGAATCAGAGGTCCTGGGTTCACATCCTATCTCTGATGTTTATTTATGACTTTGGCCATGTCATTTATCCTCTCTGGGCTCATTTGTAAAGTGAGGCTGTTGGAACAGATACCTTCTGAAGTCTCTTTCAGGTCTATAACCCCAAGAAAAGAATGTAGGAAGCTGGGCAAACAGATTGGTTAAAATGGAGGTCATCTGGGGCAGAGGAAAGATGAAGGGAGAACCACAGTTAGGGACAGAGAGGTTTGCAGGAATTGAAGGAGGGGTAAAATTGTTATTCTTGTACTGTAAGAAATGATGAAGGGGATAGTTTCAGAAAAAACCTAGGAAGACTTGTATGAACTGATGCAAATGAAATGAGTAGAACCAGAATAATTTATATGATATATTATGTACATAACATAATGACATAATATAATATATATTTAAATCAACTTTGAAAGACTCAGTAACTGATCAACAAAATCACTGTCCACAATTTCAAGAGACTCATGATGAAACATGTTATCTATCTCCAGATAGAGAACTGATAGATTCAGAATGCAAATTGAACCGTATTTCCTTCCCTTCTTTCCTTCCATCCTTTCTCATCCTTCCTTTCTTTCTCTTTTTTTTTTTTTGGTGGGAGGCCCAGGGTGTGTGTGGTAGATTACATGGCTAATGCAAGAATTTGTTTTGCATGACTTTACTTATTTGTAATAGATTTTGTTTTTCTTGCCTTCTCAGTGGGAGAAGGAAGAATTTAGAACTGAAAATAAAAGAATACAGAATTTTAAAAAATGTTATTCCTAAAGTAATGGAGACCCTACAGAAAAGGAATAATGTAATTGTAGCAAATCCAGAAGGGAAATTCTTTTTCTAATAACAATAACATTAATTAAATAAATTTATTTAAGCACCTATTTTATAGAAGGCATTGTGCTAGGCACCAGAGTTCAAATGCCACCCTGTCACTTATTAATTCTGCGACCATCCAGAAGTTGTTTTACTCCTCTGAGTTTTAGTGTCCTCATCTATAAAATGAGTTAATAATAGAGCCTACTTCATTGGGTTAGTACTGGATCTGGGAGGCAGTGTGGTAGATTAGACAGAGAGCCAACCTTGCATTCAGGAAGAGATTACATTTTGAATCCATATGCCAAGCTTATATAGTCTAGTATTGCTCTCCTATTTGGTCCCAAGAGCTTCAAGTCTCGATGATCAGCCTTCACTGACAACATGCAAACAACTGTGGACAAATAAGATATATGTAAATAATTGGATAAATTGGAAGTAATCTTGGTGGAAAGGCAATAGAATTAAGAAGGACCAGGAAAACTTCTATGCCATCCCAGGGATTCTCTTGGGAAACATACCTACTTCCTGATGGGCTGCTTAGAGATAATGATAATAATGATAACAACAATAGCTATTTAGTGATTTACACATGCGAATTCATTTGATCCTCACAACAACGCTGTGAGGTAGGTGCTATGTTATTATTATTATTATTATGCAGATGAGGGAACTGAGGCATAGAGAGATTAAATAAAGTGCCCAGCATTAAATAGCTATGGAGTGTCTGAGGCAGGATTTGAACTCAGGTTTTTCTCATCTAAGGACATAGGCTCTATCCTCTGCACCACTTAGCTACCTCTGTTAATAAATCATCAACTCCTTCTAGTTCATTTTTCTAAACATTGACTTTCTCGCACGCTGAGGCTGTTGCAACGTCTAGGCTTCTTTGGCGATCTACTCTAGCTCAAATTAAAGGCGCTCATGACCCCTGCACATAACTGTACTCAGGGGCTGCTTTCAGTTCAGTGGTTTTAGCCCTGAGGAAATGAGATTCTGGGTTTATATTTTTCAGGTTGTTTCTCTGACAACGATGTATGGGGCCTTAAACATGTGAGGTATGAAGAGAATAGTTTGGCGATTATAAAGTGTAATTATGCCTCAGGATGGGAGACTTACGTGAAGTGGTGGTGCCGAGGAGCTGTTTGGAATTCTTGTGAAATTCTTGTTAAAACCACAAAACAGGAGAGCAAGAAAGACCGGGTGTCCATCCAGGACAATGCCACAGCACACACATTCACAGTGACAATAAAAAACATCAGAAAAAACGATGAAGGCGCTTACTGGTGTGGGATTGAGAAGGGAGGAGTTGACCGTGGATTCCAGATTGAAGTGACTGTTTTCCCAGGTAGGAGACTCCCATGGTATGTTTGTGAGTTGTACGTAGGGCTCTGGGTTGGAGAAACAATGGCCCTGTCCCTCTGTGCCAGAAAACCACTGGATGTGTTCCTACCTCAGTTGCAGGCTGTAGAGTCAGTTTTAGGGGGATCCAGAAGAGATGGGTTAATACCTGTGCTTATATCTGAATCCTATTATGCCCTGGCCTTCTCACTGTGTCCTCATTGCTCTCAGAGGGCTTGGATGAAGCTGAGAGCCTTACCCTGAAAAGGTCCCTGGGACTCAGTTCCTAAGTCTATGTTGGGACTGCTCTCTAAAATAGACAGAGTTGGGGCAGCTAGGTGGCACAGTGGATAGAGCACCTACCCTGAAGTCAGGAGCACCTGAGTTCAAATCTGGACTCAGACCAAACACTTGATGCTTACTAGTTGTGTCACCCTGGGCAAGTCACTTAACTCTAATTGCCAAAAATAAATAAAATAGCCAGAGCTCTTTTGTGTGTGTGTGTGTGGGGGGGAGTTATGTGTCCAGGGGGAATCATGCTGAATGCATGTTATACCTGGACCCCATGTATAAAAATCATGGGGAGATGTCCAAGACCCTGATATCTCTAAGAGCCTGTGCTCCATGGGATTACCAATTGCCAAAGTTTCCTTAGGTCTTATGTGGTCCCTGCCCTCCTTTCTCTCCCCCCACCAACCCCAGAATGTGAAAAACAGGCACCAGTACACTACAGTAGCCAAAGTTGTGGAAAGTCGAGCTGGTCAGGCTTACTTTTGTGGTATGATTTTTTTTTTTGGTCTAGGCAATAGGGTTAAGTGACTTGCCCAAGGTCACACAGTTAATAAGTGTTATGTGTCTGAGGCCAGATTTGAACTCAGGTCCTCCTGACTTCAAGGCTCATGTTCGATGCACTGCTCCACCATGCTGTCCTGTGGTATGATTTGAGGGTCCCTAGTTTCAAAATGTCTCCTTCCCCCAGTGATTAATTTCTTTGTATTTTGGGCTACCTTTCCATCCTTTTGTAAGATCCATTAAGACCTTACGTCAAGGGCATTGTCAGCTAGGGTACTTGGATATAACTGAGGTTGATAAGCTGGACCAGGCTTATTTGTAACTCACCCCTTAACTGTCCACTTGACTTGTTCTCAGATTTACTCTTATCATCCTGAGTTCTAGTATTATCCAGGAGGTTATGTTTGGATATTTTCTTATCAATTAATAAAGTTACAGCCTCTTTTTCATGAACTTCTTGAATAAACTGGAGAAAACTTATTTTCCAATAGTTATTCATCTCTAGATGTTAAGTCACTTAATCTCTTACAATCAAATAAATATTGTTAATGAATATACAATTAACAATAAAACAATGATAAAACAAAGGCATAGATAGATTATTTATAATGAACTCAATCATTCGCTATAATAGCAGATGCCTTTTCTTCATTTTTGGAGACCTAATTCCACCATTTAGTTGGCTTAAGATACTGATGAAGATTTCTCAAGAATTCTCTCCACATTTCTCCTCAAGTAAAAAGTCTTGAAGAAAATATTATTTTGTTCCTTTTCCTTGCTCCTCTCTTCAGCCATCATAGGTGAATTAACATGGCAAACTGAAAGTTCCTTACAGAATCTTCATAGAATTTTTGTTTCTTCCTATAACAAGTCAATACAGTTCAAACAAGAAATTCCTCCTAATATTTTCTCTGTCTTCTCTACAGATTCTTCATTGATTCAAGTTAACCTACGTACATTCTTTAACTTTATTAGGGAGAGGTATCTCATAGAGAATTACAATTATAACTTTAAACTGTTGTTTCAAATTGCTGTTTTCCCCCTCCCATGTTCCATTTGGCTATTAAAGATACAGTCTAGCTGTGTCTTGATCTAGCTTACCAGGTGCTGCATATGAAATTTCAAAGTTTCCATTCACGTTGTATTCTTTTCATGAGGAATGTTTGAAAGTTCTGCGTTCTATTAAAGGTTTATTTCCAGGTTCCCCGCCCCACTCCCCTCCTATTATATTTAGTTTGGGAGGGGTAAGTTGTTTTGGGTTGTAAGCTTTTATCTTTTTACTTTTGGAATATTATAAGATTTTCTCTTCTTTAAAATTGTTGATGCTAAGTCTTCCCTGATTCCAGCTGAAGCTAACTGGTACTTGAATTCTTTCTTTCTGCCTGTTTGGTATTTTTTCCTTGACTTAAAAACTGGATTTTAGCTATGACATACCTAGGTATTTTCAGCTTGGGGTTTCTTTATAGGAAGTGATCAATGTATTCTCAAAGCATGCTGTCCAAGTTTTTTGTATGGTCATGGTTTTTTGCCAGAAGTCTGATGATTCATAAATGATCTCTCCTTGACTTGTTTTCTGGGTCAGTTTAAAAAAATAGTAAATGTAGTTTTTTCTATTTTTTTCAATCTTTTGACTTTGTTTTGATATTTCTTCTTGTCTCTTGTTTCAGACAGTCTACTATTTGGTTAAGGTTTTCCACCTTTCATCCTAATCTATTTATTTTCCTTTTAATATTTTCTTCTTGAAGTTTAATTTTATTTATAATTTTTTTTTATCTCTTGCTTCAGTTCTGGACTAGATAGAAGAGCTTCTATTCTTCCCCCTGTAATGCAGAACATTATTTTACCATTTAGGTAGTAGGACCCTTTAGGCCATGGAAAGCAGAAGTTGCTGCTTAATCTTGCCCCAGACCTCTTTCCTTCTAAATCTAAACAATAGTGAAATGTGCTGTTGCATAGCTCAGCATAGCCCATACCTCCAGCGCAAATGGATAAGAAAACTTGCAATATAATGGCTTTAGTTAATTATGTTTATACCAGAAACCAGGACACCTGGTCTGGTTTGTGTGATCCCTGACCTGTAATGATGGGGTGCTCGGATGCTTGTGCTTGCACTTTTGCCCCAAAAATGCCTCCCTAGTCTCAGAAACACTATCTCTGACAACCTCTCCCCAGCCCACGGACACTGTGCCTAGCATTCATGCATGGGCCTCAGCACGACCCTTATCTGGCTGCTCAGGCTGCAGCCCTCAGATCATATCTCTGGAAGCCTCCAAATTCCTTAGCACAACCCTTATCTGGCTGTTCAGGCCCCAGCCCTCAGATCATATATCTGGAAACCTCCATTGTGAGAAAGTTTTTTCCTTTGTTGCCGAGCATTGCCAGACTTCAAAGATCCATCCCCCTCCCTGTCCTGTATACTCCCTATATAAACCCTAGCTCGACCCCTGATGGGGGTTGCTTGATTTGGATGTGAATACCCCTGGCAGCCGCATGCTAATAAAGTCTACAATTTAAATTAGTCTGGGTCTAACTCGCTAATTTCTCAGTATAACATTTTGGAGGCCCCAGCGAGATAGCAGCGTACCCTGTCGCTGCAGAGACCCACCTGGAGAGGACATCGGCCTCGGGAGGGGGGAATTGTTCTGTTCTGACTTCTAGGGGAGCCGGCCCCTGATGATGTTCCAAGGCCCCAGGACTCAGGACTAGGAGAAGCCTCCCTCCCCGACTCCGACTGGACCTCATTTCGGCCCTCGTAGACCTGGTAACCCTCCGGAGGTAAATGTCTGCAGACCTGTCTTCTGGTGGGGAATGAGTGTTAGACGTGGCAGAGTACTTAGTGCCTCAATCCCCCAGGCACCCCGAGACGTCGGGACTATGCCTGTATCTGGTTCCTGGTACCCGGTTTCTGGTTCCTGGTTTCTGTCTCAGTGTTGGTCTTTTAGTTTATATGTGTAGAGATTGTGTTTTTAAGAGATTCTGTTTTGCAATCATCTGCCTGAAGCCACCTCTATTTCATACTGAAAGACAGGTATCAGACTGGATTGCAGATAGTTTTCTCCAGGGCAGTTCCTTCGACTTCCATTGGGAGGATGTGTTTGTGTTCAGGCTTTTATTGTTTGTCTGTGTCTGTGTTCTGCAATAATGGGGGGGATACGGCCAGTACATCATTTCCCTCCCTTTTGGGTTGTTTGCAGCCAGACAGCCAAAGGCTGCAGCAGGACTCTGAAAAGTTGCCTTCTTTCTCCCTCTCTCCCTCCCCAGGTAACAGCAGCTTCAAAGCAGTGCGTGGATGGGAGAGGGAAAGAGAGGAGAATACTTTATTATTGAGGTTATATGGTTGGTAGAGGGCAAGTTGGGAAGGATTTTTGAAGTGTCAGGTCAGAATTAGAAAGGAATGAAATATGTACAGGTTTTAAGGGGATTTTAAATCATTAGAAAGAAAGGCAAGGAAGTTTAAGCATGTAGGAGAGAGGAGTGTGTGTAGAAAATTTGAAGGGAATATGATTTAGTTGCATGGTGTGACTGGAGGTTTTGAAAGTGAGAAGGTTTTGGAACTTTTGCATGAGTAATAGTTTCTCTCTCTCTGCATTCTAACTCTGGCCAAGTTTGAGTGTGGAGACAAAGAGAAAAGTTCTTGTGTACCAGAACATAGACAAATGGTTTATGTGCTGAGGACTACGGCTTGCTGGGTTTAGTTGATATTTTCCCACAAGCCCCAGCTCATCCAAATTGGTAAATATGTGAGGTTTTCAATTTCAGCATTTGTTACACTGTTTTGCACTTAGGTACATTGAAGGAAACTCAGACGAGTGGATTGTTTTGAGTGCACAGTGAGGGCAGTTTGAGGAGAGATGGAGGGAATTATGTCCACCCACCTTTCAGGCTAGATCCCCGGGTGGGTTCTTTTAAAGATTGGTCATTATGGGAAAGAAAAAGCAATCAGAATACTGGTCCAGTACATTTCTAAGCTTAACAAGGGTATTGCATTTGGGAATATATTTTTGTCTACCCCTCCAAAACTAAATAAATAAATAGGAGAGAATGAATGGGTTAGAATAAACTTCCAAATTTTATTTGCTTTTAAAGGAAGTTTCACCTATAATTCTTATCAAATCTGTGTAAACGTTTTCTGTGTTGTGAAATTCCTGAGTAAATGAGAATTCTTGAGATAAAAATTGAGTAAATTTTTAAAAGTTTGATAATATTTGTTATTGTGGTAAAGTTCTTCACGCATTATAAAAACTGAATTTTTTCTCTGTTTTTGACTAAGGAATTTGATGTCTAGGAATTCTGTAACAACTAGGAATTTAGTTTGTTATGGTACTTTGGGAAGTTATTTATGTTACTTGAGGACATTTTACATCAACTTAGTTTTAATGAATTCCATTTTTAAAGGTTTATTTTTACTTTAAGGTAGAAAGGAAAGATATCTATCACCTTAAAAATTTCTAACAAATGTTCTTCATGAAAGTTTAGTGATTATTCCTTCTAACATCAGGATAAACTGTAAGCTTTTTTAGAAAGGGAAATACTTTTTACAAAGTAATTTTGCAAAATCTTTTTGTATGATTTTTAGAAGGCCTACTAAATTTCCATTTGCAAGCTAATTTGTTGCAATAATTTAATACTGATAACAATTATGTCTTAATCCACTGTGAATTTTCCAAGTTTCATTCCTATGTAAATTGTGTCCTTGAATTGGCCTTAAATGGGTGCTTTCAGAGAAACAGAGTCAATGGTTCCTGCTTCAGGTAGCATAAGAAAGGGCACTGGTCTCAAGAATGTAGGTTTGAAAGTTCAATCCCCCACTCTAAGTTTTTAAGGGGTGGACGTAGAAGTGAAAAAGATAGGACAGCTAAAACATCTTAGCAGATTCTGGAGGTTTTTGAGATTGATCATTAAGGAGTTTTTAAACACCTCCTTACAATCTTGTCACTCCTTTCCCCCACTTCCTCCCCTTGAGTCAAGAGGGTATCTCTGTGTGGGGATCCCAAACAGCGCTGGGTTTCTTATTAACCCCTTTCCCAGATCAGATTAGGAAGAGAGTGTTTTACCCCCTCTCCCCTGCCCGCAAATTCACCTTCCACCTGGCTATAGGAAGGAAGGGGAGGGGCAGCAGCTACAGCCTGGAAGTATCTTCCAGCACACAGCCATGGGGAGTAAAAGGGGATGGGTCAAGGTAAAGAAGCCAGTCTATAGGGATGGAGTGGCCCCAGGAGACTGTTGGACCTGGTGAAAGGGTCTAGAAAGAAGAAAGATTTTTTTATTGGGTCAATTGTATTAGTTATGTTGCTGGAAGGGCAATTTCTTTTATACTCTAGAATGTTAAATTAATTGGGTCTTCAAAAAAAAAGGAGTCAATTTGGCTGTTTATATGATCCTGTTTTGTAACATTTCCTTTTAAATATTGTAATTCAAGGAAGTATAAAATTTCCAAATTTTGTCTCTATTGAAAGGGAATTTTCAGTTGAGATTGTTTATAATTTATAAAATTTGTGAGATTGTTAACTAAGTTATTTGGGGTTATTGTTTTAATATCAAAACCTAAGATTGTTAATTGATTACTTTGTGTGAAAAGGAGGGGCACATGGCAATTCCCCTTATTTTGTAAACTTGCCAGGATCCCTGGAAACTATCTGTGGTGGAGTGGGCAAGGTCATCTGCCCTGAAAAAAAAAAAAAAGCAGCTCCATATGTTTGTTTGACATGTGGCATGGGAAGGGAATTTTCTTAATTGAATGGGTTGTAAATTCAATAGAGGGAGGGTGTCAAAGTGTCAGTTGAAATTATAGACCAAGATATCTGTGTTTCTTTTACCATTAACATGACATAGCATAGTCTATGTCCATAAGATACCGAGGTAAGAAAAGTCCCATTGTTCGGGAGAGTGTTTGGTCCCAGACATCTTGGGCTCAGTGATAACAAACAGAAAGAATGTTGGTCAGTTCTATCTGGTCCTGGAAAGGGTGTTTTTGGTTCACTTGAAAAAAAAAAGAATTAGTTCAGGTTTTTGGCCCTTATTGGGGTTCAATTGATTATACTACCTCAAGATGTTCCCATTGTTTAAAGGAATTATGAGAGCAGTAGTATTTTTCTGTGATCAGTCTCTTACTATTACCAATGTGAGATTAAATTCTTATTATCTAGGATTTGTGATTTTATGGGACAGACATTTACTATTGTTTTGAGCTTTGATTACCAGGGTACTTGTCTGAGTTGTCATAAAGCCAATAGTAGAATGGCATGTGCTGCAGGCTGATAACTGATAAAGGTGGAAGTCTATGCCTGGGAAGACTTTTGAGGACAACCTTGGATACAGCCTAGATAGGATCTTCCTGACTCTATTTCCCAATTGTGCTATTTCCTTTCTGACACGGGAAATCCCCACCTGATTACTCCCAGGCCCTACTTTTAACATCCAGTGACTATGTGATTACCTATCAGATATGACTCATGCCTGGAATCAAATGGAGCTAAGGAAGTTCTTTCCTTCTGATATGATATATGACCCTGTCCCTCTGGAACATCTCTGTGTTACCATAATAGGATGCAAGTACATTCATGGCCACATAATAATAATATAGGGATAACATCCCCCAAGGAGGAAATGTTTACACACAATAATAAGACAAAGGTGTAATGTGATAGATGTCTAATTAAATAGGATAGCAAATTTTGAGAAAAGCAATAGGATTAGACTGATATGATTGGCTTCCAAGATTAAGAAGCAACTTCTGCTTTCCATGGCCTAAAGGGTCCTACTACCTAAATGGTAAAATAATGTTCTGCATTACACTCCCACCTCCAATAATTGATCTTTCTGGGGTCAATTTCAATCATTTGCTGGGGGGGTTCTGAAAGAGCTTGATTTCTATACAATCTTGCACACTGACATCTTAACTAGTATTCCAAGATAATTTATATAAACCATAAAGCTATACAAGTGAGATGTTTGAATTTTTGTTTTGAAAGTATAGGATACATGGAGGGAGGAAGCCAGGCATCAATGACAACTTCCTACACTTGACCTTTTGCCTGAGGTTAGCCCTAATCCTGACAATGATAGTCTCAGTTTCTCCATTCTACCTACTGCACAGAAATCCCTAGGGGCATAAGAACTGTGGGTGAACTTATTAGTAAAGCCTACTCCATTGATTTGTTAAATGGTTTAAATAGGAAGAGAGCCTGACCAAAGTGACCCCCATCACCAGATTTCTTGAGAGCTCAAAGGTATTGTGTTGTGTTATAAGGAACTGGTAGGAAGAGGATTTGTTGGACAGTGACAACTGACCTGGCTTGTATATTTAGCATCAACCACAGTGAGGACAACCACCACTACCACACCAACCACCGCAACTACAACTGTGATAACAAGCGCAGGAAACACCAAGAGAATGGTAAATGACCATCCTTATGAAAGGTAAGGGAAACAAATGAAACTCAACCCCCAGGAATAATACTAATGGGAACCCAGATGAATCAATGCAAGCCCTTGCCAAATGCATTTCAGCCATAAGATGGCCCCATGGAAGATTGAGGAGTCATTGACTCTTCTGATAGTCTACTGTTATTTTCTCTGGGGTAGGGAACTGGATCTTCTTTATATCCCATCATTGTGCAGGGCCATGCAAGTAGTAAACACATTTTTGTTTTGTTAGAGTTTCTTTGTCAGGACCTCTCCTACTTTCTACCTCACTCCTGATTCACATGATATTATTTACTCCCTTGATGAGGCTTTCTCTTTAGCCTCTCACCCACCATGTTGGTTCTTCTAAATGAGGGCTTCACTGCTACTTGGTAGCCCTGACTTTTCACTAAATTCAGAAAACTGGAATTCTTTTTAGAAACTGAGATTTGCTAAAGAGGCAGCAATTTTTGTCATTGGGCATCTCCCTAGATGCAAACATCACCATTCTACCAAAGTATGTGAGCTGGTGTGGTACAGTTGAAAGATCACTGGATCTGAAATCAGAAAATGTGAGTTTGAATCCACCTCTGCTTTTTGCTACGTGTGTGGCCCTGGACAAATCATTATACTTTCGCTGGGCCTTGGTTTCCTCCTCTGTAAAATAATGAGTTTGGATAAGGTGACACCTAAGTGTCTTCCTGGCTCTAAAGCAAAGATTCTACAATTTATGTCTATTGCTATCTACTCCCAGAGGTGAGCATTCCCTTAGTTGGGGTTTCCTTTTCTTTCTAGGTTGGAAATCACAGATCTCCAAGTCCTACTGCCCATCATCTTTGGCATTTTGTTGGTGATGTTGGTGGGGGTCTCAATTCTGGCTTGGAGAATGATGCCAAAACAGAGGAAAGGTTAGGAGCCAGCCCTGGGTATGTGGAGGAGGAGAAGGAGATGAGAAAAATGATTCTCTTCTGGGCCATCTAAACATTTTTATAAGGTCAATGGCAGCTATGGGTGGGTAGAGTCTCTAAAGTTGAAGTGCAGCTTCTAACTTGAAGGGAGAAGCTAGAAGTGTTAATTGTATATGGGTTGTGAGGTGGATAGGGAAGGCGGGTACACACTATTCAAAACTATAATTATGTAAGATATTGTAACTGGTTCTAGCCCAATGGAATTATACAGTGTAAATTTGAATAATGTAACCCTCAGGGATTCCTTATTGGTACTAATCAGGACCTGGCTATAGATGACTTTTCCTACTCCTCCATTCACATTACCAGATGATTACTTCCCCGAGTCACTACATAGGGAACTGATTCCTGAACCCTGGCAGGAAGCAGGGTCACATGTTTGGGGCCCTGGTTGTGTGGCTTCTGTTCTTTTTAACTTGGTGGATTTCCCATTTAGGCTCTGAGCATCAGAGAAATTGCCTTAGGCTCACTTAGGAGCTGCTCATATAATCTAATAGATTTTATAAGTTCAGGGATATAGAACAGAGATAGAAGTAAGATCTAATGATAAATTACTATGTGTGTATATATCTCTCTGTGTGTATGTGTATGTGTATATATATATATGTGTATATATAACTGAATTATATATAATTAATATATAAATATATATAACACATGTTATATCAATATATTTATTTAATACATATTATATAAATGAAAACTTACTATCCACTCCTTATCTTACCCTTTTCTAAGCAGTCCTGCTAAATTTCTGTGAGCAGTGATTATGTGATTTTTAACTTCTGTCTGGGGATACTGGGTCTTTCATCTCTGCATCCAGACTGGGAGAGGTGGTCATCATTGAAGGATCTTCCCTACTTCTCCCTGATCTGACAATGTCCCTTATCTCATAATACCACACTGTTCTTTCACAAGGGGTTAGTTTTGTGTTTCGGACTGGTGGGAATTGTGTAATTTTCTTGTGTAGCTTCACTTCCACATTTTCATATTTGACACATTTGTTCTGGCTAATTCTCAGAACCTGCATTTGTAATGAATTAAGCCTTCCCCTTGTTACATCTGTATCTTATTGCTTGATGGTTGTGGTGGCTAGGGGAGAGATGGGAGGATGTCTCCCTACCTTTGGATGGAGAGAGGCCCAAAGTATTTAAATGATCAGCTGTTCAGGAAGAAATCAGGGAACTTAAAACTAGAATCCATATCACCTAATTCTGCCAACTCACCCAAAGATGCTTTAGAAAGTCATAGAGAATGGGGCAGCTAGATGGCGCAGCGGATAGACCACCAGCCCTGGATTCAGGAGGACCTGAGTTCAAATCTGGCCTCAGACACATAACACATACTAGCTGTGTGACCCTGGGCAAGTCACTTAACCCCATTGCCAAGACAAAAAAAAAAAAAGAAAGAAAGTCATAGAGAGAGAAAAGTGTTTCTTAAACCAAACTCTAGTGTAGTTTGGGACTGGAAAATCTCACTTAAGAAAACAAACCCTTGAACTAAGATACTTTTTTGTAGCCTCATGGGGAGGCTTTCTGGTACCAAGGGGTAAGAGGCTGAAACAAAGAGAAGGTAGGACGAGGTGAGTAGGAGGTGGATGTAGGGAGGAGAAAGAATGATTTGTTTTAAGTTTATATATTTTAAGATGTAAGATCTTCTGGCAGTAAAAGTTTTATAGATGGATAAAAATTGTTCATTTGGAAATACTGCTATATGTGAACTCTTATTGGACTTTGAGCCAGAATATCTGGATTTCAAGTCCAATTCTGCCACTTACTAGCTGAGTAACCTTGGATACATCAGATAACCTCTCTGAGCTTCAGTTTCATTATTTATGTTAATAATATTACATTTCTGGAGCAGTTAGGTGGTGAGATGGATAGAGCACCTGCCCTGGAGTCAGGAGGACCTGAGTTCAAACGTGGTCTTAGAGACTTGACACTACCCTGGACAACTCACTTAGCCCTGATGGCCTCCTAAAAATAAAAAAAAAAATACTGAATTACTTTTCTCTTAGGATAAATAATATCCAGTGGTGTACTGGCAAATATTTAATAACCAGCTCTCCAGAAGAAAAAAAATAGCACAACATACTGTTTCATTTTACCTGCATTATTAACATTTTCTCTATCACTTTCTTAAGTCTAGATTATCAACAAAGCAATAAATCAAGCCCTGATTCATAGTGTTTGCTGATTTGTGTAGTATGAATGCTTACACTGAAAATTTAACAATCTGCTCTCTGAGCAGGCTGGTTCAAGTTGGTTCCAGCACACCCTTGATAGTAACTATCCTCTTATAGAATTGTATTGGATGAAGAGGACCATAGGATTTAGAGCTGGGGGAGGGGAGGAAGGGGCCCTTAGAGCTCAATTAGCTTATTATATTATATTATGGGTGAGAAGTTAGGCAAAATGCTTTGCAATATAAACACAAATTCTTATCACCCATTAGTCTCTCTTTCCTTTCTCTGTGAATGATGGGGCATTCTCACTCTAGGCATCTAATTCTCGGCTGTTTTTATTCCTTTTAGAAGCTGAAAAACTTGCTGAACCGGTAAGAAAGGCTTAATTATCATGGGGTGGGGGAAAAAAGTCTCTCTATTCCAAAAGATTTCATGTGACTTGAGTTCAGCAGAGAACATTGGGTGTGCCCTTCACAACCTACCAGGAAGGGCATATGTACATGTGCTCTAAGGACTGGGCTCTCATTGGCCAGTCCCACATTATGCAAATATTTCCCCTATCTTATGAGGTAGAAATTGAAGGTTTTTAAACCTCACAGTAGCACTTGGAGAAGGTAGCTTTGTCAAAAGAGACCAGGAGAATCAGCAGGAATTGGAGGAGAGATACCTGGGCAATCTCTGAATTCAAAATGGGGATGGAGCAGAATTTGATGGAGATAGAGTGGGGAAAGAGGTATTAGGAAGTATTGTGGTATTGTACTGATAGATACCTATGGGTGGGGAGTTCTTCACTGAAGAGAGGTCTGTCAGAAAAAAAAGAGGAACTTATGGTCAATCAGGAATGGGCTCATTTCCACGGAACTGGGTCATTTGTCTAGAGCTCCAGAAACTTTCACCAGGTACCCCAGCCGACAGAGGAAGGCATTTGTTATGCAAGTCTGACCCTGCATCAGAGGACATCTGGAGACTCCGCTGCTCTAGATTCTTCAAAGACAAAGGCTTCTTCTCTCCTAGCCTCCTCCAGAGTCAGTAGCATCCACGAGGAAGTGGAATATGTCACCATGGTACGTGCTAAGGTGGATCTGCTGTGCTTTAAATTCAAACCCTAATGTTGAAGGGTATAGAGCACTTATTTCAGAGAACATCAAAGGTAAGTTACCCTACACATGATCTAGTTCAAGTCTCTTATTTTTATAGTTGTGGAGACTGAGTCTCAGAGAGTTGAAATGCCTTCTAGGAATCACAGAACCTGAGTAGGAAGAGGTTTTTGAAGCCCAACCCATCTATTCTAGCCGTGCTATTGTTCAGTTGTTTCAGTTGTGACCGCATTTGGGGTTTTCTTGACAAAGATGCTAGAGCGGTTTGCCATTTCCTTCTCTAGTTCATTTTTTTTTTTTACAGATGAGAGAACTGAGACAAACAGGTTTAAGTGACTTGTCCAGGGTAACACAGCTACTAAGTGTCTGAGGCCAGATTTGAACTCAGGAAGATGAGTCTTCCTGACTCCAGGCCTCCACCACCTAGCTGTTCTATGCTAACCTATGCTTAGGAACAAGTCTGATCCATATCCTCTACAAAATTCCTATGTGGTCGTCTACCCTTTGCTTGGCAAACTCTAACGATGGAGAACTCAGTACCTCCTGAGATAACCCATCCCAATTTTCTTAAGGAATTTTTTCCCCTTCCATTACCTAAATTTGCATCTCTGCAACTTTTATCTATTGCTCCTAGTTCTGTATTCTGGGGTCAAGGAATCCTTCTTTCATGTGTTAGCCTTTCAAATACTTGAAAAGAACTGTATTATTCCCCTTCCCCCCGAGTCTTTCTTGCCCTAGATTAAAAATTCCCATTTCTTTCAACTGATCATCATATTTCAAGACCCTTCACTGCCCTGGTAACCCTCCTCCCTCTGAATGTTCTCCCAGATTATCAATGTCCTACCTAAAACATGTCACCCAGAACTGAAAAAAAGACCCCAGTTAGGGTATGACCAGGGCAGAGCCTATTAGGATGATCACTTCCCTTCTTGTGAACATTGTACCTCAATGCAGCTAAAGATCAGTTTAACTTTTTGACTTTTCAAATCATACCGTTAAGTCATAGTGTGCTTATAATACACTAAATCCTCCCCATACTCCCTGATCTTTTTCATAGGAAGACATTTAAAATTTTTTTTCTATGAAATAGTATTTTTCCAATTGCATGTAAAGACAATTTTTAATATTCTTTTTTATATAAAATGTTGACTGCCAAATTTTCTCCCTCCCCTTCCCCTTCCTTAAGATGGTAAGCAATTTAGGGGCAGCTAGGTGGCACAGTGGATAGAGCGCTGGCCTTGGATTCAGGAGGGACCTGAGTTCAAATCTGGCCTCAGACACATAACACTTACTAGCTGTGTGACCTTGGGTAAGTCACTTAACCCTATTGCCTAGCCAAAAAAAAAATGATGATAAGCAATTTGATATACCTTGTACATGTGCAATCACGTAAAACATTTCCCTGATCTTTTTTCAGATGAATTGCTGTCTAGCCTCACCTTCCCCATGTAGTCTTTAGGAAGTTGATTTTTTTTAAGCCAAATATAAGACTTCAGATTGATCTTTTTCCAGTTCCATCTGAGTAGATTTGGCCTAACATCTTCATTCTGTCATTCAATATGTTAGTTGTCCCTCCTAGCTTCATTTCATCTGCAGATTGAATATACGTACAATCTATACATTTGTCTAAATCTTTGATTATTTAAAAAAAGCTAACTAGCATAGATCCCTGGGGACACTCCATTGGAGAACTCCTTCCTAGTTGATAATGAATGCTTAGTCTGGCCATTCAACTAAATCTGAATCTACCTCACTGTACTATTGTTTAACCCTTATGGATGTAGGGTCAGCTCTCCACTGTCTGCTTGTTTTTGTAATGCTGATGAGCTAAGAATGCTTTTTACATATTAAAATACAATAAAACTATTTAAAAATAGAAAAACCATTCTTTGCTAGCTGCCCATACAGAACTGGCTTTCTTTGCCAATCCCTGGTCTAGCCCAAACCTTGCCACCATGTCCTGAAGAATGGCAGAAGAAACTTTGTCAAATGTAAAAATCTAGATAAATTATATCTGTTATATTCCATCATCTCTACCTCATTCAGTGGCTCAATAACTACTTTTAAAAAGGAAATTATGTTAGTGTGACATGATTTGTTCTTGATGAAGCCTTTTTTTTCAGTCCAATTCCTTTCTTTCACACCTGAGGAAACTGAGGTCCTGAGAGATTAAGTGACTTATACAAGATGATACAACTATTAGTGGAAGGTCCAGGATTCAAACTCAGGCCCTTTGACTTGAAATCCAGTGGTTTCTCCACTGCCATGCTGCTCTCTTTAATGATAGTTCTACCAAACTTCAGGCCCTTTGAAGCTTGAAGTCAAGTGGCCTTATCTTCCTTTTCACCTCTTTCGCCCCTTCCCACTTCTCATTCCCCCTGCCCCTGGGTCATTGGCCCTAAAAGTCAGTAGAGCTGCTGGGGGTAAATTGAGGAGTACTGAATCCCCACGAAGTCTCCATGTTCTAGATAATGTAATATATTGGCCTTTTTCTCTGTTTCTAGTGACTCTACATGACCATGACCCAGACCTAACATTCCCTCCCACTCCATTCCTTTCCTGTCAAGCTTCCCTCTGACTGTTTTGGTTTGTTTTGCAGGCTTGCATCAAAGAAAAGGATATATCCGATGCCACCCTATCTCTGGATACCCCAGGCCAAAACCCAATATACTGCAACATGGAACAACTATCTTCTGAGAAATCTTATTGAGAATACAGAATACAGTTTGTAAAAGAAGACTTAGTTTCTCTCCTAGAACCTTCTTTTCAGACCTTAGCTCTGCCTTGACTTGTTTTTTCCTTCCTCCTCCTCCTTTTTCACCTTCTTCTTCCAAGGACATTTACTCTGGCCTCTGGCTAAAGAACATGCTTAACCAGAAGATTCTAATTAGCCTCATGTTCTCTTGGGTGGTGGAGACTGTCCATTGAAAGAGGAGCTGCCCACTTGGTAAGCTTAAAAGAAAAAAAACAGCTTCCATGCATTCCTTCTTTTCCTCTTTTTGGAGAATGCCATTTGGGTGTCAGAAAGCCTCTCCCTCTGACTTCTAATGAGGAGAGAGGGGAAATTCTACCCCCTATCCCCAAGCAATGGTAACAGCACACAGTCATGCAACAAGAACACAGTGAGTCTAAGATGGGACCTCAAGTCCCTGGCTGACTCTTCTGCTTTGTGTTTCTTGCCCTGAACACGTGGGATTGATCAGTGATCCTGAGATAGATATTTCTACCCTTGCCAGGTTCAACATGTTGGAAGTCATTGAGCCTGTATGTTGGTCATCCAGAAGGAAGTGATCAGCACAACTTCTTGGAGGAGAGATGACTACTGCTAGAAGGATACTACAGATAAAAGGACTAAGAAAGTCTGTGCTCAGTCCTGGCTTGCCAAGAGATCTGGACTTATACATTGGGCAAATGGTATAAGCTAGAAAGGAAAGTGAAATATCTGTTCAGCAGTAGTCATCATTTCCTGTGAGATTACAGTAGCAATTAGGTGTTATTGTATTATGTTTTAAATATTTGTTAAAGCATAGTTGAAAATATTTGAGATTTTATGTATTTCTTTTTTGGCGGAAGAAGTAAATAGCTGTCCTATACCTGATCTACTTTTCACATTGAGTACTTTTCTAGAAGCACCTTGTCAATCCCTTTTGAGGAAATCCCAGACATGAGCAATTCCTAAGCTTTATCTGAGAGATTTATTGAGCTAGAGAACATGAGAAAAGCTTCATTCCTTCTCTTAGGAGAGTAGGTGTCTCTAGGATATAATCTCAGTCTTTACAAGGTCAGAGCTAGGGCATTGGTGGAAAGAGAGTTTCCTTCCTTGGAGGTTGGGGGGCACTGGGCTGTTGCTCTTACACATATGAACCCTTTCAAAGAGGTAGCTATGTGGCACTGCAGATAGGGCACTGGGCCCCCGAATCAGGAACTCCTGAGTTCAGATCCAGTCTCAAACATTTACTAGCTATGTGACACTAAGTCACTTAACCTCTGCCTCAGTTTCCTCCACTGTAAAATGGGGATAATAATAACATCTACCTCTCAAGGTTGTTGTAAGGATTAAATGAAGTACTTAGCACAATGCAGGTTGGCATATAATGCTTGCTTCCTTTTTATTTTATTTAAATTTTTTTTACATTGTCCTGAAGTTTACAACTTAAAAATATTCCTATATACACAAAAAAGAGAAAGAAGATAGTACATGAAACCATGAATCTATTAAATATAGCTTGCATTTATAACAAACACATTCATTTAAAAGCTGCCATTCCTTCCCAAAGCTACCCTTGTTTTTGTCTACTTCTGAACCCTCTTTGTTCTATTCTGAACTTTTAAAAAAAATGATCCTATCACCCTCTTTTCTCTTTTTTTTGGGGGCAGGCATTATTTTTTTGTAATCCCTAACTCTCACAAATCCACCACCCCCTTATTACAACAAAACAAAACAAAACCCTCCATTGTAATAAATAAACAGAGTCAAGCAAAACAAACCCAACATTGACCATGTTCAAAAATATGCATTTCAGTCTGCCCCTTGAGTCCTTCACCTCTCTCTCAGGAGAAGGTCAGCACCATGTTCTAACCAAAGATGCAAAATGCATCTCCTTCCTTGCTCCTCTAAATTACTTATGATGTGACCCTTTATATATAGGTCCTGTATCCACATATAACTTATTGTAGCATGTTTTGTGAGATGTCGATCCAAACCTAATTTCAATCACCTGCTTTCCATTTTTCCTTGAAGTCCTTCACAAATAGTGAGCCCTTGCCCCAGTAGTTTTGGAAACCCTTAATTTTACAGATGTGGAAACTGAGGACAAAAAAGGGAAAGTGTTTTATTCACATTGAAAACCTTTCTGGGGCAGCTAGGTGGTGAAGTGGATAAAGCACTGGCCTTGGAGTCAGGAGGACCTGAGTTAAAAATCTGACCTCAGACACCTATTAGCTGTGTGACCCTAGGCAAGCCACTTAACTCCTATTGCCTCCAAAAAATTTTTTAAAAAATGTTTAAAAAGAAAACATCTGAAGATGGGAGAGGCAGGACAAAATGAGAGATTATTCCAGGAATAAAGAGCTTGGAGGGAAAGGTTAAAGTTGGGAAGGAGAGGAAGAAATAAAATGGTGAGAAGGTATTTGTGAGGAACAAGTAAGGAAGAATAAAGATAGAAGAAAAATCAATTTGTGCAAGAACTGGGATTGAGACCTGTTCTATAGTTCCAGAAATGCACAAGACAAAATGGGGACACTAAGTATGAAACCAGGGTTGGAAGCCTTCGAGGAGCAAGTAAAAAGACCACAAAGAGACTTGGAGATGGGCCACCTACACCCCAACCCTAGAGGACCATGAGGACTTCCCATGGCCAGTAGAAGTTCTCATAACTTCCTCCCTGGGTTTCTAGCAAGGATGAGGCTGATGGGGGAGCTAGGTGGCACAGTGGTTAGAGTGCTGGCCCTGGAGTCAAGAGGCCCTGAGCCTAGCCTCAGACACTTATTAGTTGTGTCACCCTGGGCAAGTCACATGACCCTGTTTGCCTTAGTTTCCTCATCTGTAAAATAAGCTAGAGAAGAAAATGGCAAATCACTTCAGTATCTTTGCCAAGGAAACCCTAAATGGGGTCATGGGGAGTCAGAAGCAACTGAAACAACTCAACAACAAAAAATGGTGCAGCCAGGTGGTGCAGTGGATAGAGCCCTGACCCTGGAGTCAGGAGGACCTGAGTTCAAATCTGACATCAGACACTTCCTAGCTGTGTGACCAAGGGCACTTAAGCCTGACTGACTCAAAAAAAAAAAAGGATATGAGTGCATGGTACCAGAGGCATTATGTTAGTTAGGGATGTGAGTGGGGGAAGGGAATAGCTAAAAAGGCATCTTGCAGTCCAAAAGACTAACCTATTCCTTCCAGGTTATATTACTCCATTAGAACATTTGGTTCTTTCTCCTTGAAGTGCTACACTCATCTTTCTCCATCTCAACTCCTTGGTGAACCAGTTCAACTCTACACTGTCTTCTTTTCTTGAGCCCCTTGCCCCCTTACGCTGTTGCCACACTTGCCCTACAAAGCCTCAACCCTGGATTATCCCCACCATCCACTGAATCATTCCTGCTCATATGCTGCTGAATAAAACTGGAGAAAATCATAAAATTCCTGACTGGATCCACTACAGATTTATGCTGCATAATCTCTACTGGGTCCTCACTGCAGCAAAGCAATCCCTTTGCACCTCCCTAATTGCCTCACTATCCCATTCACTCAGTGGTTTTTCATCCCTCCTCAAGCCTCTTCTAGCTCCTCTTTTCCCCACCCTCTCTGCTGAGAATGTTACCTTATATTTCACTGAAAAAAAATTAAGGCTAAGAGCTCCCTTTTCTCCCATTCTCCTCATCTCACATCACTCAAATGTTTCCTGCCACCATCTTCATTTTCATTCCCGTTTCACATAAAAAGTTGTCCCTTCTCTTTGCCAAGGCAAACCTCTCTACATGCACAAACGATCATCTTCTCCAGAACATTGTTCTGCTCCGGTCTTTCCAGGGTATGATGCCAAATTATTTTCAAAAATTGCTGGACCAATTCCGTGTTGCTGTCAAGGGTACCATCATCCTCCCAGCCCCCACCATCCTTCTCATCCACCCAGTCATCCTTGACTTCTCATTCTCTCTCATGCCCCATATCCAATCAGTTTCTAAGTCCAGTCAATTTTACCTTTACAACATCTCTCATACACATACATTCCATTCTGTCCTCTGACATTGCTGCCTCCCTGGTGCAGGCCATTATCTCCTCTCTCCTTGATTATTTCAATAGCCTGATGGTGCATCTGCCTGCCTTGTCTCTCTCTACTCCAATTCTTCCTCCCCTCAGCTGCCAAAACACTAATAAATTCCTTTTGTTTTATTTCCTGAGTTTGTCTTAATTGACCAAGGCAAGGCCTGAACCAAGATGGCAGAACCTGGATTTGAATCCAGTCCTCTGAATTTTAATCACTGCATTGATTTAACCGTGGTGTCTAAAGTAATTTTACCTTTCATTTATGACTTATTTTCCCTCCCATTTATCTGTGCAAAAGAGAAACTTATGACATACACATCTGTGTTGGACAGTCAGTCGCTCACCTTTGGATCCAGAAATGTAGAGTAAATTAAAGGTCAGTGAAGGGAAATACCTCACTCTGGAGTTCCACAGAAATAGGTTTTCTAATAATAATAGTGCCTAGTATGTGCCAAGCACTATGCTAAGCATTTTACAATTATTATCCCATTTCATTCTCACAACAACCCTGAGAGTTAAGTTATTATTATCCCCATTTTATCATTGAGGAAACTGAGGCAAACAGAGGTTAGGTGACTGTGTGAATTTGGGCAAGTCATTTAACTTTCCTGAAACTTATTTTCCTGTAAGAAGGGGTTGGGGCTGGATAATCTCTAAATCCGTGATCATGTCATGGTCCATTATCAATGGGGGTAACAATAATGTAAACAGAGGATCAGCCTATACTAATGTTGGTGTACTGTTTGGTTTTTTGTTCAGTTGTTTTAGTTGTGTCTGACTTTTTGTGATCCCATTTGGGGTTTTCTTGGCAAAGATACTAGAGTGGTTTGCCATTTCCTTCTCCAGCGCATTTTTTACAGATGAGGAGACTGAGGCAAACAGGATGAAGTGACTTGCTCAGGGTCACACAGCTAGGAAGTATCTGAGGTTGGATTTGAACTCAAGAACACGAGTCTTCCTGACTCTAGGCTCAGTGTTCTATCCACTGTGCTGCCTAGCTGCCACTAATGTTGGTACTAAGCTAGAATAAATTCCCAAGCATCTGAGAGCTGGGAGTCTGGTTCCATGAGCTGAGTGGGATGAGGTCAAAGATAGGGATGAAGAGAGAAATGTTTTGGGCCAAGGGGCATCAGGAAGCTATTTATTAACCAAAGAGAAGTCAACCAGCATGTTCTTTTGTTCTGTAGTCAACCAGGAAATGTTTGAAAGTAGTGTTTTGGGAAACTTTTTAGACAGGAAGAGCCCGGGAGAAGATAAATTAAGTAGAGACTTGTTGGAGAGAATGCAGGAGAAGAAAACCACTGAGTTGGTATTAGTGCATCTAGAGAGAGAGCATTTTTAGCCTGAAAGCGAAGGGTGGATGTGGGACCAAGTAAAAAAAGAACTGAGTAGCCAAGCCTAAGGAACAGGACCATGGGGTTTGGAATCACAGGTCCTGGGTTCAAATCCTACCTATTTTCTTAATACCTATGTGTCCTTAGATAAGGCAGTTAACCTCAGAGAGCCTCGGTTTCCTCATCTATAAAAAGGGGCTGGGCCAAGTTTCCTTCCCAATCTATGTCTATGATCCTGCAATCAATCCTAAGATCATAGAAGCAGAACTAATGGAGTATTCTGGTTGGCTCAGGGGAGATCCAAGTTGGAATGAATAAGAACCGGACTAATTATTTCATTTGCATCAGGACCCTTAAACTGATACTACTGTATCTGTAACTTGAGAGGCAATGTAGCATGGTAAGTAGAGGACTGGCTTGGGAGTCAAGAAGACCTGGGTTCAAATCCTACTGCACACACATAATAGCTGTGTGACTATGAATAAGTCACTTAGC